ACAATAATTATTTTTAAATGGTGATTTTATTTTTTCCTTTCTTTTTTTCCCACTGATTTAAATCAAATACTTCTTGCCTACTTTCCACTAAATTTTCTTGTACTGCACATACCAACGGAATTCTCATACTCTGTGTGACTGTGTATGGCACAACTGATGTCATGTGACAGCACAGCTCCAAGGAAGAGGTTATTCGCTATTAAATATTTGCTATTTACATATTGCTTTCTGGAACAGGAACATTTTTGATAATCTTCATATTCTTAATAGTCAATCTTGATAGTCTTGGCATTGTTGATAGTCTCTTCATGAACATCACAATAACATGTGATGTTATTTGATTGTGATACATGAAGACTGTGTTCATTAAAATATTTATTTCAATATCATAGGAGAATTTACATAAAGAAATTGGCAAAAGAACCAACAATTTTACAGGCTATTAAGTATTCAACACCTTACCAGTTAATCTTAAAACGTTTAAATTAGAAGAAACAAAAAGAAGTAAATTATACAATAGTTGTCTTCTATCCCAAGCCAAGAGACTGAAGGAACAATGGCAGCAATTAGTTGACATAAAAACTACAAGATTAACTTCAATGAATCTTAGAATGTATGGAGGAATTGTTTCTGTGGGTATCGCAATTACGGAGAACTTTTGTGTTTGTATGTGTGGCTTATAATATTTGCTTGAATAATCTTATATATTATAAATTTTATTTTAATCTTAATTGTTAATAATTAAAGATAAAGATGTACTTCAGATCTGCACACTGGTAACTTACCCCAGCAGGAAAGGATTCACTCTCACAGATGTTGCCTACATAACTGATATCATGAAAAATTGATATTTGCGATATAATTTGTAATACTTTTTTAATCATACAGCAAAAATTAATAAACTAGTTGCCTACAACAGCTTGTACACTCTCATGATATTGTGAATGGCTCTGTAATACATGTAATTTCTGTCGTACACTTTCACTAACATTTGAAAAATTCTTTTACAAACGAAGTGTGAAAAATACATAAATTTTTTTAATTTAAAAGATTAGACGAAAACAGCTTCCTGCCAATGAATTTAGTGAATTATCCTTCTACAGAGGTACCAATGACACACTATGCGTATTTTAACTGTAAATAAAATTCTTACTTTATATTAATTTACTATATATATACTTTACTTTAATTAATGAAAGGCAGCCATCTGCCTATCACCTTCTGCTATAAGTGCGGCTTTACAACAAGAAACACTGACAGCTAATTTGTATGGGATACACATTTTGCCATTTAGCATTGTTAATACCGCCAGCAAGAAAACGAAAATGGATAGAAAAATATAATAATGAAATGTAATATTTTTATATTTATCAAAATTATTCGGTTTTTACGTGCAATCACTCTTCATTCCCACATCTTATTAAACAAAGAGAAACATCTATTCCTTTTCACATTTACCTCAATTAAAGGACGAAATTTAAAATAGGTTTTAAATGATTTCTAAACAATTAATTTTAAAACATATAACAAAATATTGATGTAAGAAACTAACAAAAAAATATGAAATAACATACAAATTCTAACTTCAGTTGCATCCAACTGCCTGGCATGCATCACTATGCATTTCACAGTCACGAAGCACAGTAAATTCAGAGCGGGCAACTATGTTCGATGCCAAATTAATCAAACAATTGTGTGCCATTTGTAAGAAAAAATGGTTAAAAAGCCCTTTGTTGACACAAAATTTCCCACAAAATACTTGAAAAATTGAACATGACATCATTTTGTAAGTTTTTAATGAACGGGTTTCATTAAGAAAAAAAAATCTTCATAATTGTAATTGTACGAAAAGGCCGCAATTTAAAAAAAAAATTATAAATGTTTCAAAAATGTTTTTAATGAACATGAGACCTGCGCCATTCTCTTAAACTTCCTTCAGGCACAGTAACAAGGTTTAATCAAAAAGTTTGACGCCATTTTTTCCAAAATTTGGAAAATGTCTCAGGAGGTTCATGTAAAGTACCCCCAAATTAAAATATTGGTTTAAATTCAAGGGGACACGACATCAGCCACATCGATTGGGGAATAACAATTAAGGAGAAAATCAGCTGAACGGTTTTGCGTCTAGCGTTGTTCACAGACAGAGATGTTGCCGTCAATTTTTCGGTATCAAGAACCCACAAAACATGGATTCTGACTACACTACGAGTTAGAGGATTGCCCCCCCCCCCTAATCTGGATTTACCCACTTTTTCGTAGCCAGTGCCCCCTAATAAGAGTCTTCTGCCGAAAATTTGCCGTTTTTGGCGCATCAATACACATCTTTCCCGCCGTAGCGAGAAAGTAAAAATATTTTATTTGTTGTTCTTGGGCAATATGTATGCTACTTTTTGTGAAATGTGTAAAACCATTTTTTGTGTTTGGTTCTGCAGCATTTTTTCTGCTAGAGACCACTAATTTAATTACTAACTCAATAATAATTGACCATAAATATTTTAAAAAATCAGGTAACAAAAAAACTGATCATATAATCATGAACAATTTTGTACTTTCATTTTAGTGAACAAATGTTAAATTCAATGTTAAAATTAAAAATTAACCAAATTATTTTTAATTTGTTATTTTTAATGACAGTTGCAGGTATTTTAATTCTTGACTACATATTGCAAGTTATACCTTATGAATTTAATAATCAAACATGAAAAATATAAGACTAAAATCTTTTTTAATAAAATAATCTAACTAAAAGAAAAAACCTGATTTAATTTGAAAAATACAAATAAAAAGCAGTTTTAATTTTTTTAACAATTTATAATTTTTAATTTACTAAGAATCAAGAGTTTGTCAACTCTACATTCTCATATTTGTCTTTAAAAATGTCCAGAGCAATTTCTGATATATTTTAAACAACCTTTATTTCCAATTGTTAGAAATTACAATTGGAAATAAAGAGAGCAAATAAGTTCTGCTCTTAAATAAGGACCCTAGCTTGATGAATATACAAGGACATGATACAATTCCTATGTTTCTGCACTGCAACCAAATTGAAAAACTTGTACAGTGACAAGGCACATATATTTAGAACAAAAAGCTGTGGAGGGTTTGTAAACAAGTAATAGGACTAGTGAGGTAGAAACCCCTTAAAATGTTGAAAACAGGTTTCTGCAACCAGAGTCAGTATCTACTTCAGCTATCTGAGAAATACCATGTCCTGAGCATAGATGCCAACATTTTGGGCATCATGCAGTGACCTTCCTCACGAGAAATGCCCTGACAGCCATGTATATATCTTAAAATGTTACTGAAGATATTAGGTAAGATCATGTACAATTTTTGCATTGACATGAACCACTGAAGTTGAGGCTAATTATATATACTGTCATTAATAACCAGTTGATTATTTTGTTTTGAGGAAGTGAAGAGTTTGTTAAGTTCTGCTGCCCATGGAGTAGAATAGAAGGAGGGTTGAGACACAAATTTTCAACTTAGGTGAACTAATGAAATGATAGAGACACCAGCATAGATTGTATGTACATGTAAAAGGATATAAAGAAAGAGGTGAATTCGTAAGGGGTGAAATTGGATATGTGGTTGGGCTGAGGGACACTTCATTGAAACAACTGACCTTCTGCCATTCTCTGAGTTGAAGATGAATCAGTGATATTCTTTAAAAATTTTGATTTTGTAATTATTTTTATGATTCAATTCTTGAAGTCAAACAAAACTGGTCCTTCATCATAAGAATGCTTGACAGAAGTTTTGGAAATTCTAGAATATTATGTATTAAGACAATTCGGAGGGTAAAACTGCCCCTTGTGGAATTCAGCAGGTAAATTTGCATCGCCTACTTCAAAAATGTTACCCTAGATCAGTTATGGATTATAAATGAGAGGATTGATGATATAAAACATCAAGTGCTTCTAAAGTATGAAAAAATGAAAAAATAATTATACAAGAACACCATGTTTCTTTTGTATGAAATGCAATATTCATTTGTTTGTTAGTAGCTTTAAATTTCATCACATAAAATAAATTTGCTCATATAGAAATATTCTGAACTCTATACAAAACTGTACAAATATTTTAAGTTTAACCTTGGGTTCAATGTACAATATATTAGTTTTTTGTTAACATTTCATTCAATGCCATCTTTAAAGGTCAGGGAATTTTACTTCCTGCAGGTTTCCTATTTCTTGAATAAACTGAAGAAAATAATAACCTCTAGTGCAAATCCTTTTTCAAAAATTTCCCATAAGATATACAAATCTTATAGAATGTTATAATCCATACTTTAATATTTACTGTGCCAATTTAACATAAATGATTTTTAGAATTCTGCAATAATATGGGACTATGAAGGAAGTTCATTATTCGAAAAAAATATCCTAATTTTAAATGAGAAATTTTTGTAATATATTATTTGTATCTGACTTAAATTTGCCTCTATTTTTCACAATTTAATGGGTTGGTTTGAAAATGAACAAAATATATAGTTGTAAAGCTATTGGTATTAGAGATTAGAGTATCATTAGTTCATGCATGGTAAAACTACAATTTGTTTTTAACATCATTTTACAGGCATAACTTGAAAATAAGCTCAGTCATTAGTTTTGAAGCCAAAGTTTGATTCTAAGTCTGAATGGAAAAGAAACAGATTGTGTAGGTAATATAATCTTCAGAATTTGAACAATTAAACAGATTTTTTTAAGAAAACATACAATCACCGGCACCTATATTTTACAACTTGAATGTCCCGCCTCTCTCAACAACGTTCCAGTCTATGCAACAGACTCCCCAAGAATGAAAAAATGCTTCTTCCATTAAAATGATTTAATTATTCCATTAAAATGCTATATTTTCGTTTTGTGAAAATTAATAAGTAAAAATTAAAATAGTACACATTTACGCGTCAAGGGAAGGTCATTCGCTGAAAATGAAAATGATCATTTGACCAATTTTTCGCAACCGCCAATCACGTAGCACGTCACTTGCTCTCTTACCTGGTAGTAACATAAATGTAGATACTCATAGGGCTTCTTTCGAAAATAAAGCTTGTCGAGTTCAGGAGAAACAGAAACAAATTTATTTTTGAATGCAGCGTTTTTGCATTTTAAAAGGCAAAGAGTAGTTCGGACTGCTGTTTCATAGAAATGTAAATTTTCAACATCAAAAGGGAACATAAAAGGTTCGCCTTCACTTCGGGAGCGACAACGGTTTCTGCACTTCGCTGTAGTTTTCATAAAAGTACGATGTTCTTTTGCAGCAGCTGAAAAATACTTTATACAACTATTCCAATCATTTTCTAAATATGCTTCTACCCCCTTTGCATGTAGATCGTCGATAGAAACTGAATCACTATGCGTAATTTCTTGTGGATCTTCATTAAATGTCAAAGTACGATTGTCTACTGCCCATGTTAATACGAACGAACTTAGAAGTAAAAGAAATACACAGTTACTACGCAGTTCTATCCCTTCTCTCATTGTAACAAAAATTGAATATTCGAATAGCTTATTCGCTTATTCGTACTGTTTAAGCCTACAAAAACACATTTGCCCAAAAGTAGCAGCGCGGCCGTTGCGCGTGGCCGCTGAAGTAGGAACACACTGGCGCGACTCTACAGCAGCTGACTTGAACATTTGACGGAAGAAGCTGCCCACGCCCAGATCTCGCCACTGGAGCACAATGGGTGTACAAACTTGTACAAATGGAAACCAATGTTTATCTCCCAGTTTGTCCCAGTTTTAAGTCATAAATCAGTGCTGAGGCTGACAGAACCGAAGACACTGTGGTGTCGTCACGGTGTGAGTGAACGGTCTGAATGAGTCCTATCTAAATCAAGTATGAACATTGCGTGAACGGGAAAAAGGGGAGATTAAAAGTTTATTAAAAATATTTTCAAAAATTAATATCAAGAAAAAAATACTTAAAATCAGGTAGGCCAAACAGCCTATCAAATAATTTTTACTGTTAGTTGTGGCTAGCATAACTAACATAAAACTTTCCCTCTTAACTATTCAAGCTGCAAGGCAGTATAAAAAAAAGATCCCATATATAAATAAACTCCTGCCCCACCATTCTGCTGTGAAAGTAAAATAAAAAAGACTCTCCCAAACTGTGAACATTTGTTTCTTTGCTTCTTTTTACAGTTAGAATTGTACAGTTAAAATCATAATAATGTATTTTGTAAGATGAAGTGCGTCTGACAACAATATTTAGTTTTACTTGTATGTTTGCTAGAAATCAATGTAAATGAACTTACGTTGAAATTAGTCAGTGAGTTCAGATTATGTGTTTGTCATCTTTTTTGTTTTGTTGTTTAAATAAATATCAGTCATGTGATGTCAAACTTGCAAATTGCAAATCTTTCTGCTGAATAAACACATTTGGATTATAAATGTATTACAGTCATTTAAGGTAGACAATAATTTTATAATAGTTTATAAAACAAGAAAATTAGATTTGTATAATGCTGGGGTAAATTTGTTTTCTTTTCAACAAGATTATTTTTATTGAGGTGTATTTATTCTTATATACCCTTCTTCAAGTGTAACTTTCTTCTTCATAATGTGACTAGAAAAGTAATGTTTTGGTGATTTGTCTATCAGAAAGCAACAAATTCAAGGAATTTTCTTTTACCGAAGAAGTTACTTAAGAGTTATTATGCATTATTAAGCATTATTTTAAGCAACATACCTTGCTTTCCTTGAAAGAAAAATGATAATGGTTAAGTTAATAGAATTTTGGGGGCAATTTTTGGGCAAAATGTATAATTAAGCTTACAATAGGACACTTAAAATTAAGAAATATAATATATAAAGATGCATGATAGAAACAAAAATTAATTCTTGAGATTGTTTTACCACCAAAGTGATTCAACAATACAGGGCAGATTTTAATGAAAAATCTTTTTTTTTCCTTTTCACTTTAGAACAATGTTGTTTAGTATAGAAATAAATTGTGTTATAACAAAAAGAAAAGATCAATTTTTATAGGTCATTTACATGCATTTGTCATTGATTTCAACCAACAAGCCATTTTTTACCTCATACCTTCATTTTTAATGCATTTTTCATTGATTTTAATGTCATTTTAATGACTCTTATTTAAAAAAATATTTACATGATGCAAAAAATGTTCTCCACAGAATTCGTGAGTAGCTTATTTGATTTCTTCCCTCATAAATTGTAATGTCAATCTTTGTGAGTATGTCTAAAGTTCCGATTTTGGGAAACTAAAGACAGATATTTCCTGGTAAAGAACTTTCCAAACTCTACAAGCTGAGTTCATTTGAATGAATAGAAGCAGCTTTGATTATATCAATAACATATTCCACAGCTTGAGTCGTTCGGATGAACTGTTTTGAATCACATTTTTTATGTCCTTTTCTTTGCTTTAGGGCATTTTAAAAACATTTTAAGAGCAGATTATTGATCATTTTTGAAGATGTTTTAGGTCATCAAAATCCGCCCCTATTCATCACCTGTGGGCAATTTATTTCAATACAATTAATTTTGATGATCATATTCTTTCCCTAATATTTATGAAAAATTACATTCTTTACCTAGTTCCAGTCTTCTAATCAAAATTTGAAACCCTGTGCTGTTTGAGTTAAATGGCTTTCTCTAAATTTGTCATAAATGTCACTAGACTATTTAAATAATTTTAGAAGATTTTTTATATTATTTATTATTAATATTACACCAAGGGAAATATTACATCAGCTTTAACAATCTTCTAGAATAATTCCATAAAAAGTTCATAAATATAATCCCAATAATTGTAATTTTTAACAGATGTTGAACACCAATATAATTGAGATTTAGTAAAATTTTATATATCTTCATTGCATCTGTAAGTGGACCATGTGAAGTGAATTCATTTTACAACTGGGACAAAACAATCTCAAGTAATTTTTTTTATTTCTGTCATGCATCTTAATATATCATTATATTCCTGAAGTTTATGGAGTGAATCGTAAGTAGTTTCTTGCTTCTGAGTAGTGTAGATAATTAATTTTTCTAAAAGTGCATATAGCTGGTTTTGGGCAAAACAATATTATTTTTTTAGTGTATTTCATTACAGTATGTTACATGATGATATTTAAATATTTAATTGTATATTATTCCATGTGCTGTATAATTTTTTTGTCATACTGGTAAATGCATCAGAATTAGGTAGAGCAGAACAAGCTGGATTAAAACATGAGATCAAATTTTTCAAGTATGTGTTGACAATGCATCTCCTCTTTCTCTTGGTACTGGTACTTGCAACAATGATTCTTTTTTGACTACTTTGTTCTAGTTTCACGAAGTTAAAAATAAAAATGATTTCTAATGTGCACTACATGGAGTAAGACTGCTGTAAAAGTGCACAAGGTTATAAATTTAATTGCTGTCAATTAAGACACATTGTGATGTAATATATCCCAACCTTCATTTTCCCAAACCTTTGAAAACAATTAGAACATGACTCTTATAAATAAAAGCAAAAATAAGAAAGCATTGTCAAATAAATTAAGTTAGACAATTGTTGGTTTTCTCAAAAAGCTCAAACATTCTGTTTAAAGAATGTTCAGAGAGGTGTCACACTCCAGTATGGCAGTGCAGGGTTAATCAAAATAGTAACTGTCAAATATATGGTCTAAGAAGCGTTTTGAAGAGAAAAGAATATTAAATGATTATAGAATATTAAATGCTAATAGAAAAGCTTAGAAAATTTATTAAGTGTTTAATATAATTTTATACAAAAAATATCAATATTACTAATTTCCAATGTGCTCAGGAATTGAAAGTAAACTATACAACCTCTAGCCCATGTGAGAGGTCTATGGTTTTTTTAGATAGCCAGAAACGTAGCAAAAATCCCAAAAGAATGAAACAGTTGCAATATTTACTGGTAAATGCAAATATTTAATTGTGTTTTTCTGCATATTCTCATACCACACAAACTGACTGAATTCTCATTCTTAGCAACAGTGTGTGTACTACTTTTTGGAAAACCATTTTGGGTGGTTTTGTTCAGCAGTGTTTTTGCAGCAGCAGGCCAGTAGTTAATAATAAAACTGCAATATTGCAATGAAGGCCATTGTATCCTATAAAGTATTCGTGCTGCATACATTGCAAGCAAATAATATTTAAAATATAATAATTTAAATTTTAATTAAATTTTTCATATTTTAATTTCAATTGACTGTCTCTCGGCTTACATTCATTTTCTTCTAATTGTTAAATAAAATTGATAATATTATTGTCTAATTATAGTATAATTATATCAGTTAACCTAGTGCTGATTTTCTGGAACAAAGTTAAGTGCTACTCTCTGACTGACTAGTTGTCAACAACTAACATATATACAAAGCATAACCATAAGAATGAAAACATAACAATTTTATCATGTACTGTAAATTAAAAAGTAACATCTTTTGCTAATAATGTCTTAGATACTTAAGACATGAATCGATGAATTACTAAAATTCATTTTGTTCATTCTGAGCAATCACATTGTTAAAAGGTTACTATTTGTTACCCAAAACTCAGTTTGAATAATGCAAACATTCTGAACTTGAAAGTTAATTGTTTAACAAGTTCAAATAGCTTCCCTCTGGAATCCAACCTTTAACAGCTAGGCTCTAAACTGTATGTTACATCACAGATGTACATTAACTAATATTCTGTTCGTGGGCGTGCATGTGTGTGTATTAGGTTTCAGTATGTGCCCAAACTTAATTACTAATTTAATAGACATACGTATATATTATAATATAATTTATTAATTATTCCTGAGGTACCGGAACTCCGTTCCGTCACATTCCACCAGAAATCAAGCTTAAGATGTTTCAAGAGGAAACAAAACTTCAAAAATAAGCTCTGAAAACAATTTGTGAAATAAACTCCTTCAATATTTTGAATGTTTGAGCCGCAATATGCACTCAAAATTTGGTTTGAAAAAATATTTTCGATGCAAAAATTTGCATTTCAGAAATATATATTAACACTGCAGAAACATCTAAAATGTTTATCATTTACAAAAGAAATGAATGTATTTCTTCACAAAGAAAAATGAACACAGAAATAAAAAAAGGCACCCAATTAACACAATTCAATTGCTTTTATTTCAGTGTAATTTTTCTTTGAGATGAATTATAGACATTTCTTTTGTGTTTTTATTTTATTATTTTCATCAACTTAACACTATTTTATCTGTTAGAAACAAAAATCTTAAAAATAAGAAAATAATTTATATTATCACCAAATCAGCTTTTGGTATTCCGCCAAATTCCAAGTGCCAAATTCAAATGCAAAAATATTTTTTTAAAAAATGTTTACTGTGTCTTAGAACCCTGGAACAGGATTAAAAAATTATAAAAAGTTCCTCTCAAAAAACAAATCATTGTGAATTTTTTAAAAATGTTTTTCAATCGCAGAACTTTTGTTAAAAAATAAATATTGTTTTGCCGTTTTCCGGCCTTTAAATCACCTTGACTTTAAAAATACTTTGAAAATGACTCCAACATTTCTATGTATTTATTTTAGTGTTTATTATACACTCACGTACATTGTTGTAGTACCTTGTAATATTTTGACTATGGAATGTAGTTACAAATTATCATGTTTTTAAAGTTTTATAATCATTTGTTGGTATATCATATGCAAAGGAAAAATGATAGATTTTGGCAATTTATAAGAAACTTTGTAAGTATTCTACTGGTGGATAGAGAATTACCCTATAGTTCTACATGCAACAGATTTCAGGAGAAACTAATGGTGCTACAGAATGGCACAGACTTTCCTGTATTAGTTTTCTATTTCCTTTGGTCTAGGCTAACTACTTGGACTTGCCACATATTCTTGACAGCTGCCATCTATTGCCACTCAAAGTACATTTAAAAAATGTTTTTAATTATTTTGGTATCTGGTTAGTAGAATGGAAATATTATTTTAAAAATAGTACAACATCATCCTAAATGGCAATTTTCTTTGAAAAATTTGGATCCGAGTTTAAGAAAATGGGTTTCAAGCGCTACTGTTAAATCAAATGTTGAAGCTCATTTTCACAGAAAATTTTACAGTTTTCGAATAACTTCATTTGAAGTTATTTTTAGTACTTCAACTTCACAATACAATAGTGCTGGAAATGCGCATATCAGCGGCGTGAGAGATCTTTCAAAAAATTTACATTCGTGTAATTTTTGAAATAAAACAAAAAAATACACCGAAATAAACTTAACGTCATATTAAGAAGTGGAATTACCACTATCCGTTCGAAATGTTTGAAGAAAAAATTGAAGCCGTTTTTGAGAAAATGGTGTTTGAGCGTTTCTGAAAATGCGGTATTTTGAGCTAGTTTTCAGAGAAAACGGTTGTTTTCGAGAAACTTTATGTGATGTTATTTAAAGCGCATGCACTCAAATAAAACAATGGGAACAAATTGCCGCTAGTATAAATATTAACAAGTCAAAAAATTACATTTTTGTAATTTTTGAAAAAACAAAAATATAGAGTAATATGGCGTTTATGTCACCTTATGGAGTACATTTAGCACAATCCATACTAAAAGTTTAAAGAAAAAAATAAACCGTTTTTGAGAAAATATTGTTTTTGTAATTTTTAAAAATTGCACATATTGCTCACAATATTGCGCGAAGACTACTAAAATTTTCAAAAAAATGTACATGACCTTAATGAAAAAACTTACTATGTTGTGTGGTTGTAGGAAGACACCGAATAAAATTCATACTTTTGAAATTTTCGAAAGTTAACCGCGAAAATCGGACCTAGGCCACATTTAGGTGTATGTTACTGTATTCGCACAAGAAATTTAAAGAAAAAATTTAGAGCCTTTTTCGAGAAAATTTTGAAAATGTCCGGAGGGTTTCATGTAAAGTACCCTCAAATTTTGAAGAATGTTTTTCAAAATCTCAAAGTTCCGACTCGAGCCAAATGGCCAGGTGTCTCTTCAATTTGAAAAAAAAAAACCCTACTCCTAGTTTAGGGGCTAGTAGTGTTCACAGAAACCGGACGGACAGACGAACGTTTCCAAAGAAAGAAAGAAAGAAAAACAACAACAACCAACAAACAAACAAACGAAAACAACGAACAAACACTTTTGCGGTATCAGGGGACCCAAAGCGTGTATTTCCGTTGAAATCTCTAAATCGATTTTCCGCAGTATTACATAACTTTCCCTATACTACGTATACTATTACTCCGTATATACGTACGTATACGGGAAAGTGAAAATAGAAGTTAGCAGATTATGACATACAGTAGAGATTAATGCAACCCACATTATAATTGCGCTTAAGTCGGAAGCGAGGCGTCCGAGGTTTTTTAAACTAAGTTTGCGTGTCCCGTAGGGGCAAGACCTTTTTGAGGACTGGTAAATTCTGATAGATTGGGGGAGTGATAGGTGGCAGATGGAGAAATGACGAGCACCAGTTCGGGTGTAGGTGAAGGATAGATGGGGACAGTGGGGGAAATAAAGGGGGGCAAGTTGGACCCGGATTATGTTCTTAGATTGTTTTCTACAAAATAAGGCCTTTTTTAATCTTCTTTAACCATTTTGCAGATATAGTTCTTTTGGGTGCCCACGGTCCATAACATGGATGGTCAGCAAAGCGCAGAAGCCGAAATAAATCTAAAATTAAATTAAAGGAAAAATACAGAAATTATCTTAAACGATAAAAAGTTAAAGGGGCCATTTTGTTTTCTGTGTGTTTTAATCTCTACTCGTACGCTTAGAAATACTGGAATGGTTTCTCTCGCTCAACACCGCGTCTATAGTACTGTAAAACAAATTTCGGTTGATGGAAGTTTGCAGTTGGGTGCAAATTTAAATCAGTTTTCATACAATTACTATTTACAAAGTTTTGTGTTTCGAACGTCTCCGTATATACTTATTTATACATATACAAGAATAAATACTTGACTAAGAGAAAAGACAACTTTTCTGTAGTCTGAAACAACTACAGATATGAGAGCGTCGTCTTCCGTGGCTGAAGCCGTTGTTGCAATTAGTTGTTGCATAGTGTGAAGGATGTGTAAGAGAATGGTGCAGATCTCGTTTTAGTTAAAAACTCTAATTTTTCGAAAACTGCAAAAATTCAAACATTTTTCGGTGTCTTCCTACAACTACAATTATGAAGATAGATATTTTTTCCCGTAATGGAATCTGTTCCTTAAAAGATAGATTTTGAAAGAATGTCATGTATTACGTTGGGATGACGTGTGTCGCTGCTCGTAGGGCACGAGTAATAGGGAGTTTGTGCTCGTCATAACAGACGCAGTATGTCTTCTGCGCATGCGCGAATGCACTAAAGTGATGCGAAACTTGAACTGCACCTGCGCACAAAACCGATAGTGCTTTAACGTTCGTTTCTAATGAAATTGATAAGAAAATGTTGAAGCGACTGTCGCAGTGGGCAGCTCTGGCTTCTGGACTCGATTGCTGGGCTGCAGCGCTGTAACCCTTACAGCGCGCTGTAACGCTGATCTAGATTCCGTAATATTCCGTTTATTAAAAATAAACATATAATAAGTAATATTTAAAAACACAAAAATATGTTATGCGTAAAACATTTTTACATTTTACAACAATCATATGCACAGAGAAGTTGTAAGGAATGACTCCCTTTACAAGAAGTTGCCGAGTAAGTTTCAGTATGCGCTTCCTAAGAAGCTGTACAGTCAAAAATAGATCTTGGAGTTATACTGTTTTTCCACTCAATATTTGTTAAATGTAAAACAAAGTAACTAATTTTAATAAGGATGCTTGGAACTGTAATGATTTCGTTATGATTCCTACTAATCTTCATTACTTGTCTCCCAAGACGCAATATGATAGTAAAACTCCAAACATTTCGCCACTCATATACTTGACGACTTTTTTATAACATTGATCTTCACACTTCACATTGATTGGTAATGGTTTCTTGTAGGCTGGTTTGATGGAAAAATTGGAGTGAGTGAGTCTTGAGCCGTTTAAAAGTGTAACTGCTCCTCCGATAAAATTACTAACTGAAAAGTAACCTGGTGTAGAAGTTTCATAAATTAACTGATTACAGTTTAAAACTAAGAAGGGTTCATTATTTGCAAGATTTTTTATAATAATTTGGTCATAAGTGTATTATATCTATGTATTTTTTTAGGGATACTGTAAATGACTTTAATTTACGGCTTTTTACAATCAGATGCTCATACTCTCCTGATAGAGATATTCAATCACATCTTCTTATGACTCGTTTGACGTTTCTGGAGGTTCTGTCGTATGGCAGAAAGAGTGTCCACGAACATCAACATCGTGTAGATATTTAATTATTATTTTATCAAGAACTCACAAAACATGGTTTCTGGTTACACAACGTGTTAAAGGAAGTAATTTATTACATATATCAATAAGAATTATCCACGTTTTCTAAGAGAGAGAGAGAGAGAGAGGGAGAGAGAGAGAGAGGGAGAGGGAGAGGGAGAGGGAG